AAATTAGACAGTCATTCTAGTCCGGGGTTCTTAGGGGTCACATTCCTCTAAAACATCTATCAATAGAATTGAAGGGACCCATGCACTCCAATGGAAAACAATCCTAACGTGAGTGTTTAGTAAATTGCTAACAGTGAGTGACAATTTAGAATTTCAGGTTATTGTGAATGCAAGACACAAACGTCAAGTGCGGGAGCAGTACCAATGATTTTGTCTATAGTGTAAATCGGATATCTTCATATCATAACACAGTTGCTGTGGTCGCCTCACAGCAGCATTTATGCTCCTCCCTCCTTCAAAATGGTGGTAGCCATTAGTCCCATCAATAGATCTTGTCACAATGTTTTATATGATTATATACAATATATGAGGTTGAATGTATACTACAATCATATAATGCATTTTATGCACTTAAACACATCATTCTGGGGTCCCTAAGCTCATCAGACCACCAAAGGATACCTAGGCATGAATAGGAATAAGAGTCATTGATCGGGAGATTAAGAAGCCACAGTACCAAGGGACAAGGGAATGTGAGAAAGAGACCACGTCCTCTAGCTGAGGGGCTAGCATGCCTTTGAGTTCTCCAGCCCATGAGGAATTATTTAGGTATGATATTTTGCCTTGCATGCCTCTTTTTTATCACTCCTATTAGCTTTCTTTATCTTCTTTTATTTTTATGTCTTTCTTTTTCTTGTACTTCAGTTTCAGCGTACTCTCAAATTATCTCTTTGTCTTCCTGTTCCCTTCCCTGAGTTGTTTTCCCTGATGGCCTACCTCTCTTACCACCCCCTTCCCTTTTCCCAAACCCCACCCCCAGCTGCTTCTCTGTTGCCTCCCAGGCCCCCATGACCTGGTTGGCTATCAGCCACCCATTTTCCATGAGTTTTGTAGCAAGTACTTAGGGCCCCCAAGAGTCTATACTATCCCTTCTATTAGGGTAGGGCATTAATTTTGTTTCTAGAAAGTTTCTTGAGAAGGAACCTAAAAACAGACTGATCACCCAAATAACTATGAAATACCTCATGGCAGAAGGTCACATAACTTTGCAAATTCAAGTTTGAATATAATTTGTAGAAAGGATGGAAGACTTTTTTTTGATAACTCCCACTGACTAGACATGTAGGAAAGGTCGGCTGAATGGGCCAGGATACTGCTCAGTCACTGCCTACAGGGGAAGCCCACTGCAGCGGGTCTGTACAAGAAATCCTTGTGACAAGCAGAGCTGAATTTGGAAGACTGGAGAAAAAGCCAATGTAACTTCATGACCTTTGTGCCTTAGCTTTGGACAAATATACGAGCACCCTCACAGGGGGAAATATTTGTCCTGAAACTCATCTCTCCCAGCTGGGTACTGAATACTTACATGCAGACTGAAAATTCTATCAATGACCTAAAAAGAAAAGAAAGAAAGAAAAAGAAAGGAAGGAAGAAAGGAATCTGCACTTGAAAACAGTTTTGTCAAGTGTTACTTCATGTGTGAGAATGACTCACAGTATTTTTTTATATTTGTTTCCATTTTATTTGTAATAAAAAGCACAAAGCCTTTTGTAAAAACTGAAGTACAGTGACTGTGCATTGGACTAGTGTTAACATGAAAAGCAGCTCAGAGAGCTTAGGATAAAATGAAACCATAAATTTCATAAACTTTGCTGATGTGTTCATTTCTCCTCTTAAAGATTATTAGTGTGGTTCTTTTTAACATTTACTAAACTATTTTTATTAAATGAATTATAGGGCCCTTACTATTAAAATATTCTCTTTGGGAAAATAGTACGTTCTAAGTCTTTAAGCTCTTGAGAAGATTTCAGACTTCATTCTCATAAAAAAAGGGCATTACATGTCTCATGTTGTGATATTTTAATTCATTAATTTTTTTTATAAAGCACATGTAGCTATAACTAGTATATACATCAGTCATGAAAGCTTCCATCCTGGTTGCCAACCACTTGTAGAATAAAGCTCACCAAAGTGGCAATCTGTGGATAAACTGCTAAACTTCATAACTGTATGTTATTGAAATCTAAAAGCAGATTAAGATATTACTATTTATTTAAAATAAAATGCATAAGGTTTTACTTAGTCATCTTTTTTTACTTGTTTGTTTCCCTTTGCTAACTTCTTCAAACTCCACAGAAACTTACAATTTGGCTTTTCTTGTTATTAAAAGCAGATCGAGTCCAGATGCTCTGGTTCTTGACTTTTTTTTTTCATTTTAAACTATCTAACAAAAACTGAGAATTTTAATTCATACTATGTATTGCATAAACATATTTATTCATTGTGTTCTGAATAAAAACAGTATTTTTATAATCTTTTCTCCAAGGCATGTTGCTTGATAGTAATTTTAACTGTGAATATGTGTGTATGTGTATACATATATATGATGTGTGAGTGTGTGTATATATATTTAAGATAAATGTACACCCAAAGAATTGCCCCAGCAGTGTTGCGTGTGCCCTTTAACACTATATGACACAGGAGTAAAATAAGCAGAAGGGATGCGGGCCCCATAAATTGGATGACAGCTAACTCCCTTATTACCCCTGGAAAAGCCGGGAATTAGGAACCAAGATGCACACCCAGGTGCCAAAAATTCTCTTGCTGTGCTTCCTAAAAAGATAGATCATTTCGTTTAGCTGTTGTCAACGTGACTTCAATGTTGTACCTTTTCCCCCTCTAACACCGCTGTAATCCAACTAAACCAGTATCCCCACCCTCGGAGGGTAGCCCCTCTGGGATGGTCTGATGTTCAGTGGTTCTTTTTGAGGAGTGGGACAGCTGTGCACATGTCCCCTACGTGTGTAAAAACAATGTCCACTTCTAATGAATTCTCTAGAATGGGAATGTTTTCCTTGAGATAACTGAGGATGCTGGGATGCAGATCAGCCGACCCAACACAGGTGGCGGACTGAGGCGGTGGAAAGCAGGGAAAGGGTGGAGGGCAGCTCTTCCTGCAGGCTCTCCAGGGCCATTTCTGTCACACCACAGCCCTTGATCAGCCAAGCCCCACCTCCCTGACCCCAAGCCTCCTGGACAGCCAGCCCTATTCCCTCACCCTCACCTTTTTCTCCCCCGACCCTCATTCCTGCTGGAGGGCCTTGGTCCTCACGTGTCACAGCAACAGGAGTGAAAATCCTGTTCCAGGTGGACATAAATGGACCAAGTTTCTACTCTCTGCCTGTACTTCTTATCCCTCTGGTGTGATTCTGATAAACAGGTTTTCCCATCCTCCTTCCCCACCCCCTCGCCCAACCTCTGTTCCCTCCAGCAGACTGTTGGTTTGTGTCCACGGGGAGGAGGACGTCTCAGTGATGCAGCTACAGGGAAGTGGCATGGGGTGTTCTCGGACACCAGATTTCTGCCCTATAAGCATGCCAGGGGTGCATGGGAACCTCCAGCTCCTGGAGAAAGTACGCTTTGTGAGGGTGCTTGATGGGTGAGAAAGTGGCCATGAACTACTTTTTCCCCTTTCTGAGCCCCAAGTATGTTTTGCCTCATGTTTACATAAGTCTAAAGTTTAACGCCAGGGTCAGAAATCCAGAAGAAACGATAACAAATCATTTCATTGGATTCAAAAGGATTTTTCCCTTTGAAGTACTACATTTTTTCTTATTTTCAACAGTAATTGGGAGTGAGGCAGGACAGACCTACTCAACTTGAGAGAAGAACTTGGCTACAATGGTTGAGAATCTATTTAATTTTAACTTAGAATCATCTAAAAAGGTTGCATAGTTGGTTGATTTTGGTTGACTTGAAATATAAATATTCTACTGCAATCTTTTGCAAAACAGGCAATTTGTGGTGGTTTATCCATTATGTGATGGCGACTTTTTCTGGTTATGCTAATTGATGCATTTATGAAGAATTAGCAAAATGATCTATTTTAATAAATGCTTTCACTAGTTAATTAATTTTTCCTAATTGATTTTAAGATGCTGAGAAACAGCAGCAGCAGTGAACATAATGTATTTTATGCACGAACACAGTTCATTTTGACCAGGGTCAGAAGACAGTGGTTCCAACAGTAGTTACTCTATGAACACACCAAGTGGCCTTGCCTATCAGTGAATCTCCCCCCTACCCCTGGAGGGAGAGGAGTAGTAGCTAACATTCCTGTAGCTCTACTATTCTGTGATTCCATCACCTGAAAGGGACCCATTAGCAGAAGACAGTGTCTGCAGTTTGTGACCACAGAGAAAATCTCTGTTCACATTTGGATCCCTCCTTCCATGTCTCCCCACGAAGGGAATGACTACCAAAAGGTTCAGAAAAGAAGTCCAATGTCAGCAACCAGTTCCTTAAGTCTGCTTCTGGCACCAGGATCCCATCCTACCAAGATGCACCCCAACAGACTCTCAGGGGAGTGAGATGTTCCCAGTGCCACAGCTACAGGGGCACATAGGCAAGGGCTGACCCTTACAGTATTGCCCCTGGTTTGGAGTAATAGGCTGGAGGCCTCACCCACTTCCTTGTGGACAAGGGGCTTGAGGACCAAATAGGCAGAGAGTATGGGACACAGCCAGGGTTCTCTACTTACAAGAAAAACCTGCCCCATCACCTGCTGGCTGGATGAATGAGCAAATAATTTCTCCATGCCTTAGTTTCCTCACCAATAAAATGGGAAAAATAACTTCAATCATTTTCCTGGGTTGTGAGGATTCAAACTAAAATAGTGCATGCACAACATCCAGAATAATATCTAGCATAGGGTAAGGACTCAATAAATGCTAGTGCTGATTATTATTACTACTTGTCCCCCCAAAATAGTTCAGCAACCTGAAAAACAAAACAAAACAAAACACCTTGGTGTGGATTTGAAGTCTTCCTTCAAGAGTTCTCAAAGGACAGGTTCCAACCTGTTTCTTTGTGCAAAGGGAAGGGGCCTATGCACAAATCCAGGTGATAAGCATTGGTGGGGGGCGGGGAGAAGAGGAAAGGGTCCCTGGATCATCGGAAGCTAAACCTTGTGAGTGAGGGACTTAATTCTGGGCTCCTACCTCAGGTATCCAGGTAATTCAGAAGCCAGCGCTCTCTCCCCGGTGCCTGGCTTGTGAGGGTGTGGCCTTGGTGCTCAAGCGCAGCGCCCGGAGCTGGAGCGGAGGGAATCCCTGTTAACGCTCCTTGGGGCTCTGAAGCTTGCCGCTGGGTGGCAGGGAACTCGCGGCTCCGGGGGTGTCCCGGGATGGGAGGGCCAACCTCTGGACTCCTCCCCGGAGCCCTTGCCAGTCGACGTCTCTTCCGGGAGGGTCTGGCCAAGCAGTGGGGCCCAAAAAAGGGGACTGCGTTGAGCTGTGCTTTCTCGCAGTTGGTGCGGGAGAGCAGGAGACGTCTACAGGGCAAGTGCAGAGTCAATTGCACCCCTAAAAGCCTGCACGTGGGAGGTTTGAACAGGGAGGACCAGAGGGTTTTACACGTCTCCAGATCCACGTAACCTCTAAATTCTTCTCTTATAGGTACAGAAGGAAACGAGAACCAAACTCTAAGCCAAAGCCGCCGCCAGGAGATGGGCGTGCACCAACTCAGAGAGAAGGGTTAAATGAGGTGCATCCAGGCCTTTGGCAGCTCAGTGTGTGCCGCCACCTGGATAAATGGGGCCCCGGGGGCTGCTTGCCTTTTTCGCAACAGCATCTAAGCCCGCTCCCGCAAATGCTCTTCCATCCCAGACTGCTGAGGTGAAAAGGAAAAAAGAGCCTTCCATTCCTGCATTGGCCAAAAGGTCTGGAACAACTAGAAGGATTTACCTAGGGGTAGCGAACTAGACAGCCCACCTCCTCAAGGAGCCCCCGATCTGCTGGGTCTTCCCTCATCCAATGTCCACACCCCATCACCCTGCACTCCCTGCAGCTCTGCGCTCCTGAGCCTCCCCGGGCTCAGCACGGGGCTCCCCCACTCCCTTGCTCCGCCCAGGTGCGATTTGCGGAGGGAAGTGGGGGAGGTGGCTCCCAGTTCAGCCTTCACCTCTGCGCTCTGCTCCAACCGGTTCGGACCCCAGTCTACCGCCTCAGAGCTGAGGACTCTTTCCCTACCCCGAACACAGGTCTCCTCCGGGTGCCAGGAATCCCCTCCAACACTGCGGCTACGGAGACGTCCTTAACTCCAGGAGCACCCTGTAGGGAAGGTGGGCGTGGGTCTACAGACCTGGCGGAGGAGGTGGAAGGGTGTAGAAGCCGGTGCCAGAGAAAGAATAAGGACTTAGGTCCTCTTAGAGCCAGGAAAAGCATCCCTGGTCGGTGATCTAAGCCACTCAGTCACCGCCCAAGACACCAACGCATTCGGAATCTCGCCTGGAGGTTTGTTCTCCAGGAGAGGGAGATCGCCCCATCCCAGTCACCCAGAAGCCTGCCTTCCCAAGGTCCCCGGGGCCCCAGCATTCCAAGACTCCATTTCTCCTCTCTGCGCCTCCCCCATCTGTATTTACACACCCGGCCAGCAACCTTCGGATTCAAATACCTTTTCCTCTCTAGCAGAAGCCTGCGCGGGACTGGCCCCTCGCCCGCATTAGCAGAGCCTTCAATCAGACCTATCCTCGACACTCAGCTTCCTCTCCTACCCCCAAGGAAGCTTTTCCCTCCCAAAACCACTTACTTCACCCACCCGGACCTGCACTTGGGGTTCCCAAGGCGCAAAGCCGCAAGCCCCTCCAAGGGTTTCATTACCTAGTTAGAGGTGGCAAACGCAAGGATGGACCGACTCCCGATGCGCTGGACTGAACCCCAGGGGTGGCTGCAGGCTTTTCCCACTCCCCACCTCTCCTATTCCACCATTTCGGCTCCTAAACTGCCCCTACAGGCAGGATGAGTACTGCTGAGTGCCAAACCCTAGCCTCTCTAGCGGGAGCTGCAGGGAGTGAAAAGTCGACTGACAAGAATAGAGAGAGAAATGGGCAGATATATTCGGCAAGGGAGGGGGACTGGGGGAAGGGCTCACGCGAAAACTAGAGGTGCAACTTGCACGGCACGGGGTGAGTACAGAGCGGAGAAGGGGGTGCACAAAAGTTTGCAGACTGTTGCGTGGCAGCTAGCTGCACGCTAGCAAATAGAGTCGACTCACCCTGGCCAGGAGTGGTCTTTCCGAGGGTCTTCGCTAAGGGGAGTAGGGGGGTTGGACGTGGCTCAGAAGTGGTGTG